CTCAGCAGACTCAGAGGCTGGTGTGGGTGTCCGCCTGTCATGTTCACCACCAGCAGCAGCGTTTAACAAAAACAATTCAAACACATACCTTTATCGTACAGTCCATTGCAGCAGCCTCGCAGTCTTTGTCATTTAGTCGTTTTTTTGTAAATGTTACAGCTAATTTAGCCTTCTAACCTCACTTCAATGCATGCGGGGGTGCATTGGCTCTATGTCGCAAACCATTGCAGTTACAATTTTTTGCTCACAGACCATAACCGGATGGCAAGTTTTTTTTCTCTCCCCCCCCCCCTCCTCTCTCTCTCTCTCTCTCGCTTGCTCTCTCTCTCTCTCTCTCTCTCTCTAGCTCTCTAAATTGGGAAGTGAAGTCACTCTTAACACTGAAAGCGCTGAAGCTGCTTCTCATGAAACCAGCTCTTGCTGCTCAGAAGCGAAAACAAAAGGCTCTCTCTATATTTATTTTGTGTGTGTGTGTGTGTGTGTGTGTTTATGTGAAAAATGTGTAGTAGCATATTGGATAACATGAGCATTCAACTCACAATGATTTCATTTAAAACAACAGGTTTGTAGCGTTTTGCAACAACAACAAACCACAGTGGAAACGAAAGGAGCCACTGACTACTGAATACCTGTCAAGTGTCAGAACAAAAATAGATTTTGTGGTTAAAACAACAACAAAAAAAAGTATAAAAATCTCTTTTTCTGCTTTTGGAGACATGCCATATAATTGCCTAAATGGCTGTGGAAGCAGACTATTTATAGACCAGCATACCAGTAAAAAAGGCACATTTTTATGAATATGATTTCTCTAGGATCTACTTCCTTTAAATTGTGGTCTTCTGAAAAACAGGTGTAAAAACTTTGTATTGGTAAATGTGCTATGATTTAATCTGCATATCGTTTTTATATGTATGTTGTTTGTGAGTGAATCAGTACCTGAAGTGAACCCTAAACACAACATTAGACTACCCTAATTCTTTAGCTGTTTTTAATCCATTTTAGTGCTGTTCTCTTAGCATTAGCTATGTTTTTACATGGGGACGTGGTTACGCTGGCATTTAGGTGTACCTCACCAACATTGCTGTATGCAGGGTTTTAGAAATAGTGAGGTCCAAAAGCTGAACTTACTAGAGGGGTTTTGGGGGCATTTTTAGGTAATTGTTTAATTTTTTTAAACTTTTATTGTATACCCCTCAGAAAAACTACTGAGGTCTGGGCCCTTTGTGGTGAGTATGGCCATGCTCACCAGAGGTGGCAGTATGCAGTAAGAAGTGAGGGTAATCAATCTGGAACAAGCAATAATACATTTTGTTCAAATTGTTCCTCTGCAGACAAAATTGAAAAAGAAAGAAACATCAATCAGTGTATTCTTATACGATATAAAATATATTTTGTGTAATCGCTGTACTATCTGGGTCAGAGGTTCCCAAACTGCAGCTCAGGCTCCTCAGTGGGTGCTTATAGGCTGGTCAGGGAGGGTCCAAGCAAAATCTGTTTCATTTCCTTGTTATCTGTTTAACCCAGCCCACGTTTTTTATCACCTCAGTCAAAATCACCATCAAACAGCAAATTAATCAGGCTACAGCTTGGCCTAGTCTAAAGTCTGGTCTAAAACAGTAGTCAGGTGAACGTATGTGTATTAAAACAGGTTTTTCTTTTGCTGTAATCATCTCATATTGGACATTAAAAGACCCATCGGTGAACTGTAAAACCAAATAAGTTAATTTAACTCAAAACACTGTTGAAACTGATCACATCAAAATCAAGTAACACAAACTAAATGTTTTATGTTAAAAAAGATTCCCGATTAAGACGATTCACTGATCATTTTAAGTGGCACTAACATTGTAAACATTGTAAGTTACAGAAGCATTCCTGATTAATAACTTTTTACGTGGTATTTTGTTTTCACAGTACAAATAAAACTAAAACATTATTCTCACTTAAAATTACTAAATTGATTAAGAATGTTACTTTTAACTTACAAAATTTAGTTAGTTTTACTTAAAAGTGTTTAAAATAGTTTGAGTTAAATTAACTTATCTGGTTTTACAGTGTACTCTTCAAGTAAAACTAGTAATACCACAGCGTATATTCTTGTTACAAATAAAAGTCCTGCATTCAAACTTTTACTTAAGTATTAGCATCAAAGTATATTCAAAGACTAAAAGTAAAACACCAAAAAGTTATGCAGAATGGCCCATTTCAAAATAATATATATTATATTATTGGATTATTGATCATTGAGCTTATTAATGTTGCAGCTGGTAAAGGTTGATCTAATTTTAACTACTTTATACACTGCTGGGTAGTTTAATGTATTATAATCCATCATCATTTATTAGATGTTCCTATTTTGTATTATTGTAACTAAAGTTGTCAGATAAATGTAGTTATTGCTCGATTGAACTAACTCAGACTGAAGCCTCACAAGATGAACATTTGTCCACAAAGCTGTAGATTTGTGTCCCCGATCACCACCCTAATGTATTATAAACGTATCTCTTAACAACCTGTATGAACAGGAAGGTTGATTACAGCAAGTAAACTCTGTTTCTGGCATTTATAAACAGTTAACTTAACTATTTCTGCTGTCAGAAAAGCAGCATTAAAATGAACAAAAGTAAAGCTATTTAATTATAGTCATGGTTGGATCCTTTTTATAGTTTTTAGCCACAGTTAGTAAGAATCTTATTTCAATTAGTGCTTATATGTCAGTGGTAGAGAGAATAGTCAGTGTGGCGCTTACAGTTCATTTTACAATCTGCTTTAGTAAAAGATAACTTGTCTAATTTCAGAGTTTGGAAAGAGCCGGTGGTCTTTGAGAAGTAAAGGGCCACACAACTTAATACAGAAATGACCAAATTAAAAAAATAAATAGCTTTTAAAAACTAAAACTACTCCCCAGTTAAGAGATTTAATATCATTAGTTACTTCCAACATGTACAAACAATATAGAATATTTAAGAAACATCCACACCAGACTGCATTAAAACTTCCATTATTTGAATTTTCTGCATATTTGGTGCTTTTTGCATTGCTTCATGACGGTTCACTGTGTAAATATCCCAGTGGATTCCTGATAGATGACTGCAGACGGTTGTTAATCACTTCGTGTTGTGTAACTTTAACCCGGTTGTGTCCTTGTCTTGAGGTGGGGCTCCCAATCACGACTCCCGTCTCCCCACCGACGCGCACGATTTCACCCAGCTCCATTTTTCCAGATGGAGCTGACCCTCTGTGTGTGTGTGTGT